TCTTAGTCTGCTTCACGTCCTCCGTATCGAGGAGCAAGACTGTGAAGATATGTTCAGCGTCTTCCTTTGCATCGGCGCGGTCGACGTAGGAAGCGTGAAGCTTAGTTGTAGCCGCGTATCCTTTTGGCTTGGAAGCCTCGAATTTCGAAGACAAGGAGGTAGAGGAATGGTGTTCAGCATGGGCAAGAGGGCCGGCGGAGATGATGGTGTAGACGGGCGCGGGCAGGATGTCAAAAACGTCCTTGTTGATTTCGCGATGTATTTTCAGTACAGTGTAAACGCCGCGTTGGCCCTCGACAATGAATGTGTCAAAGCCTTTTTCCAAGAACTCTTCATCAACCTCCTTCTCTTCATCTTCGTCGTCGTCAAATAGGAAGTCGTCGTTTGGCTTCTCTTTTATGACGGCAAGCTTGTCGATTGCGGGAGGTGAGTTGCTGACGACGTCTTCGATTTGAGGGAGGAGGTGGCGGAATGCTTTCGCAGGGCCGATGAGTTCATAGGAATCGATGTGCGGTCGGATGATGCTCAAGTACCAGATTGTGTTGGGTTCGACGTCGATGAAGGCGAGCTCATCGACTGGCTTGTCGACTTTGGGAGTGGGGATTGGGGTGGACTTGTTGAAGGGCATGACTTCATCGTCGCCTTCGAAGTAGATGCCTTTGTCCATGGTGGGATGTAGGGATAGTCGAGGACCTGTGATATCGTCGAGTATCGTAATGTCGGTGCGAAGGCAATGTAGTCGGGGGTGGTGCTTGGGAAGTTTATTAAGGTGAGAGGGATGGGCAATGTATGCGTGAAGAGCAAGCACGGACGTAGTAGCTTGCGAGCGTTTGTGAGATGACGTCGTCGCTTGTGGTTTGCGGTATCGCGGTGAAGGCGGGACTGGCGCCTGGAGCTATCGGGCTCCAATATGGGGCGCCGACAGACCGTTACAAACAGTCCTGTATACCGCTACGGGGGTTGATGGCGTGCGATATCGCCCAGACAAGGCGGTATGTAGGCGCCAACTCTCTCATCTGAAAACGTAGAATCATATATCAGCGGCAGTTCGAAGTGACTCCAGACGTTCGTAGAATTGTGCAATGGTATCTCCTAGCAAAGTAAGAAATTCCGCCTCTTAGAATACATAATGTGCTTTTAGACGCAGTCCCTGAACGCCAGAGCGCCATACGCATGCAGAACGTGACATTTGATTGTCATTCAGCCTTCCATACTACTACACCACCTAGTGTCTCTTCGCTCTCTTATCCTTGCCAGGCCTTTTGCTTGCACCACCGCTGGGCTTGCCCTTCATCCTGCGAGCCGAGAAGCCGCTCCCGTCCGCGCTGGATTCGGCGGTGTTACTCTTCGCGTGACGCTTCTTGCCACCGAAGCCGTACTTCGAGTCCTTCTTCTGGCGCTTGTTGAAGTCCTTGCCGCCAGCACCACCACGACCGCGACGGTCGGATTTGTCGTCGTCAGCGGTGGCGGCGACGTCGAAGAGGTCTTCCTCGTGGGTAGCTGTGATGTCGGCTCCTTGTCGCTCTGCATGTTTGTCAGTATACTGTCGTTCAAGTTCTCAGATATGGGTGGAACATACTCCTCTTGAGAGTTTGGATCTTCTCAATGGTGTCCTTCTTCTCCTTGGCGCGCTCCTGCAGCTTCGCGACTTGAACCTGCTTTCCGAACTTCTTCAAGTCTCTCTGCTTGCGTGCCTCAGCAGCGGCCTTCTTGCCTGCCGCGGCATCGATCAGCTTTTGCTTGATCTTGCCCATGTGCTCGTCGCTCTTGACCATCTCTGCAAAGTAGTCGGCCGGTCGAGAGAACGACACGCCCTCCTTCTTCAACTTCTTCCGCGCATCCTTGACCGAGGACAGGCATTGCTTGTAAAAAGCGAGCTCACGGTTGAGGTCATCCTCGACGTCGGCGATCTCGACAGGTTCGTCGGTGGTAACGGACTGGTATTCCGAGAAAGCGAGTTTCGAGTAGGGGAGTTGGATGCGGTTCAAGGCTGCGGTGAGGGCGGCGGTGTTGTTGATGGTAAGACGCTGGTGCGGGATAATGTCACCCTTGTCCTCTGAAGCGACGGAGTCGAGATCAGATAGCGCAATGTCATCCTCGTCATCGTCTTCGTCCTCGTCATCTTCAGCGTCTTCATCCTCCTCTGCGGCCTCATCAGCCTGTATCTCCTCCTCGTCTGAGCTGATGTCGCTATCGGTGTCGTTGAGGTGATCAAGGTCTACTTGAAGTCCATTGGGCGCGTCTTCATCGTCGCTTGCGTCATCGTCGTCATCCTCGCCCTCGGTCTCCCACTCGGGTTCCTTGACTGCTGGCGCAGCCTTTGCGTCGGCCTTCTTGTCCTTCTTCGACTTCTTTGTCTTGCCATTGACCTTGACCTCTACCTCATCCAGTGGCACAGGTACGCCGCCCTCCTCGGTATCCTTCTCACCCTCCTCCGCGGCCTTCCTGGCCTCGCGCTTTTCCTTGCGCTTCAGCGCTTGCTTGACGTACTTCTTCTGCTTCTCGCGCTTGATGTCGCGGCCCTGGTAGTTGTCGAGCGCCGACTTGAGCACGCCTTTCTTCGCCATATCGTCTGAGTTCGAGGGGTTTTGAAGGTGTGGAGTATCGAACGTCGCAAAAGTCAAGACGTCAAAGCTTCCCAGAAAATAATTCGTGAACTTCCAAGTCTGGGCGCAGAAACATTTTAGCGCGCACGCTAGCTTGACCGCCTACGAAACGGGCAGGAAGCCGCGGCGAAGACCACGTGCTCCGCGACCTTACATATCCACCGTATGCGCATCTCTCCTGTTGTATTATAGCAGACAGCTTGATAACCGCGTTGTGAGGTGCTGAAACTGTCCCGAAACCGCAGACTACTCGTATCGTTCTCCACTTCCCTCACAAACACATTCAGTCATGGCGACACCGCAGCCACTAGCAGACCGCGCGCAAAGCGACACTGCGGTACGTGCTTGCTACATTCACGATGCCCCGCTCTACCTAACACGCGCATAGTCCGCCGTCTCAAAAGATGCCGAGAGTTCTGGGGAGCTCACAGCAGTTGTCGACGATCTCCTAAATCAGCTCAACACCAAGTTCACCACAGTCAGCAGCGAGCTGCTTGCCAAGAGTAAGTACGAGCATGTCTATGGCAGGTACATCGAATGCTAATAATGCGTAGTGGATGACATGTCACGGCGACTGGATAACCTCGAAGCAACTATCCAGGCTGGAGATGGCACCAAGGGCTCAGGGTCTGGCAAATAGCGTTACGCGGAAGGCATGGTCAAAAGCAGGCGGTGTGCATCGCGCATGTCTCAGTCATTGGCGTTTGGTGTTAAATTACATAGATGGTAGGCAATCTGGGTATTGACTTTTGTTTCTCTACTACTTGTTCCTCTTTCTCATTGCCATGATCACGTATGCCTGTCGCTCCTGCGCCAGGCCTCTTTGCGCCCCCAGCTCATCGTATCATCTTAATAGTGTTGATGGTATGCCTCATTGCGGAATCTTACTTTACGCACGGGTCGTCTACAACTCAGACTTCTCCTCCTCAGCATCACCCATGAACTTCCTCAAGATGTTGCTCCTGCTCATCAGGTCATCCATCTTCTCGGGTGCCAGGTTGCCCTTGGCAATGAGTCCCTGCAGACGCTTGAGCTCCTTCGCAGCGTACTCCTGGTTGGCACCGATCTTGTTGAAGACCTTGACGTAGTATTCGGCGTACTTGTCCTGCAGAGTACCGGCGAGGGTCTTGGCCTCCTCAGCACCGCCGGCCCATGAGCCCTGAAACTTCTCAATGAGGGTGTTGAAGGCCTCGATGGTGCCACCAGTGGCGTCAAGACCACCACCTACAGCACGGTGGGTACCGGCGTTTGCGTTGATGAAGTCGACGAAGTCCTTCTCGGCACGGGCGCCGTTGTAGGGAAGAGGCTCGGTGGAGCCCTTGGGGAAGTATTTGATGGTCGGGTAGGATGACACGCCTTGCTCCTGTGCGAGGGCCTTGGAGTTCTCAGCTTCAGCGTCGACCTTAGCGATCAAGACACCGGGTTCGGTAACGAAGTCGTTGGCGAGGGTCTCCCAGACGGGGGCGAGGGTCTTGCAGTCTGTCAAGATGTTAGCTATGAGACATTCCTAGAGAGGGGGCTAGGAGGACATACGTCCACACCATGGAGCAGTGAAGGCAACGAGCACATCCTGGTCCTTTCCAACCTTCTCCTTGAAGGTCTTGTCGTCCAAGTAGACGACCTGGCTAGGCAGCTTGCCCTTGACCTTAGGCTTGACCGAGCTCTTCTCTGTGATGAACTTGCTCAAGCTCTCGAGGTCACGTCCGCCGCTGTAATCCGTAGGCTTGTCGCTCTTTCCGTCGAACCACTTGAGGGTAGGGAAGCCTGAGACACCGAAACGCTTGCCGAGCGACTTGTGGGCATCGGCGTCGACCTTCGCGACGCTGACCTTGTCTCCGGCGTGCTGGAAGACACCAGCGAGCTCATCGTAGACGGGGGCGAGGTTCTTGCAGTGGCCGCACCAGGGAGCGAAGAACTCTACGAGGGCGGGCTTGCCGGACTTAAGAACGACATCGTCGAAGTTGGAGGGTGTGAGGTCGATGACGGCCGATGCCGAGGCAATTGCGGGCAGCAGCGCAATGGCTGCGGGTATCAAATTGCGGAAAAGCATCTTGAAGGTGTGTGAAGCTCGAGGATGAGTTGAAGCTCCAAATGTGTGTTGAAGAGCGGTGGGAAATCTGGTGGGGAGCTAGAGCAGCACAGCGGCTATCAGGGTCCCGCGGTGGCGATCGCTAGTCTGAAAGGTGTCCTTACGCGTCTCAACTTTACAAATCCAACACCAACGCGACGGGATGACGTACACTGGATAGTGATCACGTATACTAATCACCGTCTTAATCGTATACATAGCTGCTGATAAATATGTTTACTGCAATATGCATCCAATTCCTGGGTATCACAAAGACATCGCCCTCCAGACCCGCATGTGGCTATCTCCCCCCAAACCTTCCATATCTAATGCAACGACATCTTCCAGTTGTTCCCTCCAGTCATCCCATAACTCCCACTAACGGTATTCTCATCCTCCTCCTTCTTGCTGTCCTCCTTGACCTCTGGTTTGACCTCAGGCTTCTTCACCTCAACCTTCTCCTCCTTAACCTTCCCCAGCTCACCAGCAACCTTCTCCACGGCAGCCTTCAGCGACCGCACATCCGCACCCCTGATCTCCTCGATTTTCTTCCCGTCCTTGAAGACCATGAACGTCGGCATAGCTGTAACACCATATTGCCCTGCGATCTCCCTCTGCTCATCTACGTTGACTTTTACAAATGCGAATTTCCCTGGTGAGGTGTGCGTAGTGGAGAGTTGATTGTAGATGGGCGCGATTTGCTTGCAAGGCGGACACCATGTTGCGTAAAAGTCGGCAATGAGATAGATGTGGCCATTTAGAAGGGTGCGGAAGTGCAGGGGTGCTGAGATTTCTGTTGGCATGGTTGATGTTGGGGTGTCCGTCAAGGCGGCGTGCTGAGGCTGCGTGTCGAGTGATTTGGGTGTTGTGTTTTGCTGCAGGGTTGTTGAAAGGCGGCTGTAGTATGTTGAAGCTGTCGTAAGATCCAGGTCGCACTTTTGTATTTGTTGCACTGCGATGGCGCAACCTTGTGGAATGTTCTTTCCAATCGATGCGCCATACCACGAATGGTCTGGCCAATCAGCATTTGTCATCAGCATTACAATCACGTGTCGGTGCGCTTGCCGCATCTGGTAGTCGGTGATAGCAGTTCTGCGCGGGAGAGGCTGTATGTGCTGGCGCAATGCGTATACGAAACCTTTGAGCGGAGTCATCAGTTATGCAGATGGGAAGGCCTGTCCTGAAATGATGGAAGGTCTCGCGGAAGTTGATTCGACAGTGCAATCATGTACATGCTGACGCACAGCAGTCTTGAATTCCAAAAAGTCCACAACGCCTCGCTATGCCATCATGAGCAGTTGAACAAGCTGCTTTCTAAGAATGGAACGACCCTTCAAAGCTCAGCCCCCACCCCTGCCCAGTATCTCCTCCCTCTCCAACACCTCAGGCTTGAACTTGATCAGGAAGACCGTCTTTCCCGGCCACAGACCCTTGCCCTCTTCGTCGCCCACACTATGCGCTGTCACGCCCTCAGTTGGGAACCCCGCACCGTCGCACACACCCTCAATTATACCCGCCACGAACGCCGCGCAATTCAAACTCGACAATTCTTTGGGCAAACTTATGTATTGGTTCACCATGGGGTCGTTGTCGAAGAGCATGTACTGTCCTGGGTCGGTACCAGACTTTTCTAATGCATCCGCGGGTCGACCGAATAGGTAGCGGTATAGCTGTTGTGCGATGAACTGGAGGAGAGGCAGGATACGCGTGGGTCGGATGCTCGCGAGGGGGTTGGCGGTACGTGAGAGGAGAAGGTCGAGTAAGCGGAGGCCAATGGGGTAGCCTTGTGTATTCAGTCTAGATGGTGTCAGAACACGTTCAGCTGGGAACCCAATGCGATATGTCGCAGTGCATATGTGAACCTCCGCAGCTGCACATATCTAGCATACCTCTGCTCCAAGTCCCCCACATCCTTCGCGCCCTTCTGCGCATACGCAATCATCTCAATGAAGAGGTACGCAAACGCCGCCCTGCTAAGCTCCGCATTCTTGCTCCGGTTCAGATTCCTGTCGTATATGCTCTTTTTGTTCGACGGGTACCGCAGCCCAGGCCCTTGACTTGGGGTGCCGCTCATTGCGATGTGCTGCCCTTGTGGTTGCGATTGTGTGCCGGGTTGCGGACGGATCGTGGCTGCAGAGGAGGACGTCGATGACTTTTGCGCAGTGTCTACGGACCGCGAGAGAGACGACTGGCGCGAGGGGTAGTACGAGTGGTGCAAGGGCAGGATGTTGGACATGGTTGCTATTGAACCCTGGCGGTGTTGTTTGGCGGAGTGATGTGGGTCGGAGGGTCGTGCGTCGTGCGTCAGACCTGCCGCGGGTCGAGGATGCTAGCGATCATCTTTGGTGCTTAGCTAACACACGACTTTCACAATACAACAACTCTCCGGATTCTCAAACACTTTTACTCGACAATTTTAGTAGTGCATTCTGTTTGCCTCACCGGACTGAAAAGCTCAGCGCCTGCACATGAAAAGGCGGAGTGAAGTCAACCTTGGAATCATGGAGCAGCGAGTTAGGAAAGCGGGCTATTTGTGAGGCCGTGGACAATACGTCGGATTCTTTGATAGCGTGTGGTTCAATACTACATATCAAGTAGGAAAGCAGACGTAGCAACCCGTAAGAATCCACCATGCCCAACATCTACATCCCTCCGTTGTGTCGCGCTTCAGCGTGATGACAAACCGCCTGAATAGCGCGCTTCGAACGCCAACCGTCGTGCTCAGCAGCAGTCTCCATGTGACCATCAGGCATCTCAACCATATCCCCATACAACTTCTCGAGCTTCTTCTTTTCGTCATCCACACCTTCTGAGCCGACTACTTTGCGTACCTCACCAGATGATGCCTTCCTCCAGTCCTTGTACCACTCTTTGAACCTTTCGGTGAGATTCATCTGGTGCCACTCAAGAACCCTCATCATCGGCTGCACATCGGTGCGGCGGATGTCAAACTGAATCGGGATGATGGCATTGGTGTTGTTCGGGTCCGCAGCAACATCGCGCATGTGAGGTGCACCAGACTGCTCGACCTCAAGCTCCGCACGCAGGTCACCGTTGAGCTTCCTCTGTTGCTGTAGTGCAGCCAAAGCATCACCGCGTTCCTTCTTCATCTTGCGTTCGGATGCGAGGTGGCGCTGCTTATCACCTTGAGCGTCTTTGGCCTTCTCTTCCTCCTTCCCCGCCATGTCCTTAGCATTCCTGACCTTCTTATTGGCACCCTTCAGCTTCCGCGTCTTTCCATCGTTCTGATTGCCCAGATTGACATTTTCGTACTCGATGGTCTTGAGTGTGTCCTTCAGCTGCGTGTTCTCTGCTCGCAGACGCGTGACCTCACTTTCGAGGCGTTTGAGATGGCGTACGATGTCAGTCGGAAGGTCAGATGCCGCGGCAGCTTTCGACGTCTTTCGATCTAGATCCTCGATGGCCTTGCCGCGTTCCTCAGCCTGCCCTCTCCAGTATTCGCATTGCTGACTCAAGGTTGCGATTGCAGCTCTTAGACGAGCCTCTTCACCGTCTTTCGCTCCCAGGTCTTCGTCGACTGCATTCTGTTGCCAGAGGCCTCAGGAGGACTCTACAGTAGACGCTTTGGACACTGACACACTAAGCGACAACGCCCCGGAATGCAAGTCATCAGGGTCGTGGAAGAGTGCGTCCAGATTGAAGCTCATCTGTTGTGGGTCAGTATGAGCGCAGGCTTAGCTGTTCTTCGACTTACCTTGGATTGTACTTAGGTAGCTACACTGTCTCGACGCGAGAAAGCGACGACTTGAGGTTGCAGCGTAGTTGTCACGCCAAGCATTCATACCCTGGCGAGGTGAAAGCCAAACAAGACGAAACGGGAAGGCGCGCTGGTCACCGCTTCACCGTAAGGCATCCCTGGTCCGATCACTCAATTCTCAATTGCTCTATAACAGCTGCGAGATCTCGCACGCGGAAGGGCTTTGGGACTGCGTCGTCCATCCCAGTCTCTCTCGCGCGCTTCAGTTGCTCGGGTCTTGCGTTGGCGGTAACAGCGATGATGTGTAGATGCTTATCGATTGACCCGTCTTCCTGCGCAGCGCGAATCATACTCGCGCACTCAAGCCCATTGACAATGGGCATCTCAATGTCCATAAGAATGACGTCGATACGTGGCTCATCGCCGCGTGGTTGCGATGAGGTTGAGCCTTTCCAGTGTTGCGTAGTTTTGATGAAGTCGAAAGCTTCTTGGCCGTTGTCGGCTGTGTAAACGATATAGCCCTGGAGTTGCAGCTGTTTCTTGAGCACCCGTTGATTGACCATGTTGTCTTCAACAAGCAGGATGCTAGATTGCGTGGTCGGCGGCGCATCCGCAGCGGTACCCATCGCATGAGGCAGCGACGAGGTTGGTCCTTCGGTAGTGATGGACTTTTCGGAGCTCCTGGTAGATAGAGACGGTCTCGGTGGTAGAGCCCTGGAAGCTTTTGTATAGAAGGCAAACGTCGACCCGATATGTTGCTGAGACTGGAAGCCAATCTCGCCACCCATCAAGCCCACCAATTTCTTGCTAATGGACAACCCCAGCCCAGACCCGCCGTATTTGCTGTAGGTCTTGGGCATGTTCTGGGTGAACTGGCTGAAGACGCGCGCTTTGGTCGATTCATCCATTCCGCATCCTGTATCTTCGACTTTGAACCACAAGAATATTGACCCGTCCGACGGTTCGACGTCGAGTACCGGTTGATCGGTTGGTTCACTCTTTTGGACTGCTTTGATGAGACCGTCAAAGATAGCAGTGGGTGGCCAAGCTGCTACTCCGATGCGAACAGTGACAGCTCTTTCGGCGGATCTATCCTTGGTGAACTTGATTGCATTGGCGACCATGTTGAATAGCACTTGTGTCACTCTGCCCGGATCAGCATCGATCCAGTCAACGTCGAGTTCGCTCAATGAAGCATCAGCTACAGCTACAAGCTGAACTCCAGCCTGTTCAGCCTCAGCTCTGAAAGTGCTTTCGACTTGATTCAAGAAGGTCTTGACGTGAAAGACTGTTGGACAGATCTCCAACAAATTCGAATCCAGTTTGGAGAGCGAGAGGATGTCATCGATGATACGTTTCTGATGCATGGTGCATGCCATGATCGTATCGACAGCATCGCCAATACTGCTGTTCAAATTCCGCAAGTCGTCGGCGGTACGGGAGTTGTCATTGTCGGGTGCGCTTCGCTTCTCGCACTGGTTGAGGAGAAGCCTTACTTCAGAGAGCGAGTGGGCTATGGAATCCGCACAGTGCATAACAGCACTAAGAGGATTTCGAATCTGCGGTATGTTAGGACATGCAACGACCCGTCCGGAATCCAAAGCGTACTTCATGGCTCACCATGTCAACGAAGCTTCGCCCTGTTAGCACATGGAAGCACACCCTGAGTAGGTTGTCATTTACTTCTCTTGTTGTCGTTTGGCCTCCACGGCTTCTTGCAGCCGCGATTCGCTGAGATGAAGCTGCTCCAGAGCTGCTGCGCGAGCAAGCTCTTGTTGTTTGAGCGCTTCTTCTTTGGCGAAAATGTCATTTCCTATGGCAATGCTTTCTCTCCGGATTTTCTCGGTACGGCTCCTAGCTTCAATGTTTGCCATCGAGATCACTTCGTGGGAGAAGTCACGATGGAGTGTCTTGATCCAAGTTTGGTAGGAGCGGTCGTAAGGTGTACGAGGTGCCAGACCGACGATTAAGACAGCATGAACATTGGCAGTCCGGTTCGAGA